GGGGCGGCGGGGGGGCTCCGTGGGAGGGGAGGGGAGAGGTGCCGAGTGCTTTCCGGGACCTGGAGACTCGGAGCGTCCCGAAAGGGCAAGGGACTCGGGAGGGGCTCGGGAGCGTCCCAGGGAGGGGCCTTTAACTGCTTTCTGGGGGAGGGGGCTTGGGGGGTTGAAACCACCCGTCTGTAATGCAGGGAGGGGCATCTGAGTGTATGTGGGGAGCTGTGGGGGCCTTGGGGACCCTAGAGACACGGGATGAGGCAGAGAGAGTAAACATTCCTGGGGAGGTGATATCCTTAGGGAAGGACCCTTTTGGAGGGAGAGGATGCCTCGCATTCCTCCAGTGGGGCTGCGCCGGGCAGTTTGGGAGAGAGAGCAGAGCTCAGGGTGGGGCAGGGGCCCAGGGAGGGACGAGGGGGCCGGGCGTGCCTCCCCGCACGTTTTGGGAGGGGTCTGTGAGTCCTCCGGACCCCACTATGTGCCTCTGGGAACGGCTCCTCTGCCCAGGTACCTCACCCTGAGACCCGCCCCTGCCTCATCCCTTCTCTCGGTCCTCCTGTGACTGCCTCTTTCTCACTGTATTTGCCTCCTCTCGCGTCCTACACTCATCTCCCACCCCCTGCACCCATCTTGGGTTGCAGGAGCCCATCCTGGGAAGGGGAGGAGGAGGGGTCAGGGCAACTGGAATGGAAGAGGGGAAGTCAGTGAGCGGTCAGTCTCTTCCTCTGTTTGTGAAGTCACCGAAGGGCCGTCTGGCCGGTCCCCAGCTTTCTCCCTGGAGATCCCAGGCCTTCACAGCAGGAAGGAACCAGCATTGTTTATGACTTGGCCAGGGCTCTCTCCTGCTCCCTCCCTTCCCTGCCAAGGCCTGGGTGGGGCCGCCAGGCCTGGACTCCCCCTTCGTAAGGCCACACCAGCAACATCTCTCTGACCCTCTCAGCTCGGCTTATGACCATGTGCGCAAGACTCGCGTGGCCATCAAGAAGATCAGCCCCTTCGAGCATCAGACCTACTGCCAGCGCACGCTGCGGGAGATCCAGATCTTGCTGCGCTTCCGCCACGAGAACGTCATCGGCATCCGAGACATTCTGCGGGCACCCTCCCTGGAAGCTATGAGGGATGTGTATCCTTCACCTTGGCCAGATAGCCAGTCAGGCACAGCCTCAGAGCTGGGCTGGGGAACGTTGGCCTGCTTTCTGTTTCCATCTTCCCTACCACCCTCCAAAACAAATCCGGTAAAGAAAACTTTCCAGCAGAGGAGAAGCTGCAAAGTATAAGGGGCCTCCGATGAATCCTGGCCTGCTGCAGCCAGGCGGTGAGGCCCTGGGCAAGTCGGATCTCTGCTCTGTGCCTCAGTGTAGGGCTGGGCAAATGGTCTATGGCAGCTTTGTCTTCTGACATTTGCAGTTCTGTGACATGACCCAGTCTCTGCCCACAGTCAGTTCTTGCTTAACAGACTCATGATCCTTTCCTCTCTGGGTCTCCAGACTGGATGGAGGCGGGGAGGAAGAAAACTGCCTTTTTTAGAGGGCCTACTGTGTGTCAGGTGATAGGCACACCGAGTGCTTTGACATTTCTGATTCTCCCTCCCAAATGCCGTATGAGATGGGCCTCATCAGCTCCATTTCAAAGATGAGGAAACTAAGGCCTGGAAAGCCTAAAGTCAAGTGTTTCTGCTGCCTCCTCCCCTTCCCCAGGTGGGAACTTGTCCTTTCTCTGGGACTTCCTGCTCAATCCCCACCCTAGTCACCTGTGGACTTGCACCTTGCCCAGGCGGAGGCCGCCTAGCCGCTGCCATCCCTGATAGCGCTCTGCTAGTTTGCTGTCCACTTCCTGCTCTGTTGTGAGCAGCTTGTGACACCCGTCACCTCTTTCCCACCAGTCCCAGTCCTCCACTCAGGAGCAGGGGGGACTTGCCCTGCAGTATCTGCAGCCCCCCACCACAAACTGTGGACGGGAAGTCTGCACACTCACCCCCGGCTTGCTGTGCGACCTGAAGCAAGTCGCTGCATCTCGCCGGGGCTCTCCGTCTATGAGACAGCAGGGTTGGTCCAGACATTCTCTGAAAACCCTTTTAAGGCTGATTCTAAAAGACAGTCCTGACTTATTCTTCCAGAGACCAGCCAGATGGAATTTATTTATCTATTTATGTTTAATCTTTGTTTTATCTTCAAATATAAAAGGACATTTACTCCTCCATCTTCTGATATAGGGCCAAGCACTCTTTGAGTAGGAGCATGCTGTTGGGAGCGGCTCCTCATTTTTCTTGTACCAACCATTCCCATAAGGCAGGCATTTATTTTTAAGCAAACATTTATTGCATGCCAGATGGTGTTCACACATTATCTCATTTAACTCCCTCAACAGCCATGTGGCTCAGGCATTGATATTAGCAATAATACTTCTTGTTTGCTGAGCCTTTACAGTGTGCCAAGCACTGGGTGGCTGCTTTACATGGGTCATCTTATCTAATCTTTACAACCATCCTTTAAAGAACATTTATTTCCCTTACTTGCCAGAAGAGAAAATTGAGGCACTGACAGGTTGTGATCATAAAGCTAATGAGTGGTGGAGGGGAGATTTCAGACATCAGCGGGTTAACTCCAGAGCTGCTGTTCTTAACTGAGTTCTTCTGCCTCCCACAGTTTTTTTTTTTTTTAACTTGTTAATTTTCTTAATTTTTATTGAATCATAATTGATTTTACATATTTTTGGGGTTCAATGTTGACATATGTTGATCAAATCAATATTACTAGCATATATATTGTTACAAATTGTTCATATTCTTTATGCCCCTTGTCCAATCCCTCCCTATCCCTATCTCCCTCCCCACTTCTGCCCCTAATTACCCTAGATTTCTTCTCTCCCTCTGAAAGAGTAATGGTTACTCTGTTGATTGGTTGCCTAGATGATCTGTCCAGTGCTGAGAGGTCAGGTCCCCCAATATTATTGTAGAGAAGATGCTTCTGTCACTCTGGAAAGGGCTTTATGAAGAGAGATATCCTCTTCTTTTCTTTGGTCTCTGCTAGTGTTAATGCACTCCAGTGGCTGGTGGACCATCTGCATGGTGGTTGTATCATCTAGCCACTTTTGCAGCAGCCATGGTTATTGTGGTGACTGTGGTGGGCCACCCACATGGAGGTGATGTTTTTGGCATGCTCCTTGGCACTGGCAGTGTGTCTGGTTGTGTGTGGGGGGGGGTCTGGTCCACAGATCCATGCCTCAGGACCCCGGGCCGGCCCCGAGGTGCTGGTGGTGTGCCTGGTTGTGTGCCTCCCACAGTTTATGATACTCATTTCCCAGGTAGGAAAACCAGGGCCACAGAACTGAAGTGCATTGCTCAGGGTCACCAGCTGAGATGTGACAGAGGCTCTGAGCCCTGCTGCTGAGTATGGCCCTTGCCTAGCTCATGATATGGGCTGACAGATCTGTTGAGTTCAGGGGGCCCCAGCTGGAGGGGCTGTGCAGCCTGGTCACCAGAGCCTTTTTTCCTTAACCAAGTGTCTCCCACTACCCCCTGCCTGGGGGTCTCCGGGGCCACCCACCCTCAGCTACATTGTACAGGACCTGATGGAGACAGACCTGTACAAGTTACTCAAAAGCCAGCAGCTGAGCAACGACCACATCTGCTACTTCCTCTACCAGATCCTACGGGGCCTCAAGTATATCCACTCTGCCAACGTGCTCCACCGGGATCTAAAGCCCTCCAACTTGCTCATCAACACCACCTGCGACCTTAAGGTCAGAGGGTTGGGCACCTGTCACCTCCTCCCCCGGGTCCTGGGGCTTCCTGGTGACCAGCAGAAGCCTGGGTAGGAGACCCTTGCAAGCAAGAGGAACAGCATAGGTGAAGGGATGGTGGTGTAACTGCCTGGGCTGCCCAGGCCTTGAGCGCTGCACTCGACAGCCTGCCCTTGATTCCAGATCTGTGATTTCGGCCTGGCCCGGATTGCTGATCCTGAGCATGACCACACTGGCTTCCTGACAGAGTATGTGGCCACACGCTGGTACCGAGCGCCAGAGATCATGCTTAACTCCAAGGTAGGAGGGCTCCCCACTCCTGCAGGGAAGGAGCCGGGTCCCAGGAAGCCCTAGAGCCACCTCTGAGCTAAGCACTGACCCCCATTATGCAGGAAGTCCACCCTCTGGGTCTTATCACATCCCTCCATGTCTGCCCTCTGCCTCTCTGCTGGTGTTAGATCTAGGTTGGAGGTGGTGGCTTTGCCTAGACTATAGGACCCTGTTGAGGCTGGCCCAGGAGCCCACCACCTCCTCCTCCTCCCCAGGGTTACACCAAGTCCATCGACATCTGGTCTGTGGGCTGCATTCTGGCTGAGATGCTCTCCAACAGGCCCATCTTCCCTGGCAAACACTACCTGGACCAGCTCAACCACATTCTGGGTGAGGGGACTGGCTGGCTGAGGGGCAGGGAGATTAGCATATTGGAGGTGAGGAGTCGGGTTGGGGATAACACTACGTGTGGAGCCCCTCCAGCATCTCACAGTATTTCAGTGAGGTGTAGATACTATCCCCATTTGATAGATGGGAAAAGCAAGGCTAAGCCCCACACCTGAGGAAGTGCCAGAGCCAGGATTTGAACTAGGTCTGCCTGAACCCAGACCCCTGGCTCTTCACCATTGCACTGCTGGCTGGAAGATGACTATGTGGGACAGGAACAGGTTGCTGGGCTGGGGATGCTTGTTCTTGGCTGCTTGCCTGTTCTGTTCCCAGGAGGAGGAGGAGACCTCTCACCAAATCACCTGCCTTACCCACAGGCATCCTGGGCTCCCCATCCCAGGAGGACCTGAACTGTATCATCAACATGAAGGCCCGAAATTACCTACAGTCTCTGCCCTCCAAGACCAAGGTGGCCTGGGCCAAGCTTTTTCCCAAGTCAGACTCCAAAGGTGAGAGGGACATGGGGCTGGTGTGGGATAAAAACTGGGTGCAGAGAAGGGTACGAGATCCCAGCAGCTGCCTGAGCACAGGCCTCTGGGCACATGGAAGCAAAGTGATGCTTCTGGCTGCTCCTCCAGCCTTCCCTTTGACCCCTGACTCCTGTCCTTTATTAGCCCTTGACCTGCTGGACCGGATGTTAACCTTTAACCCCAACAAACGGATTACAGTGGAGGAAGCGCTGGCTCACCCATACCTGGAGCAGTACTATGACCCGACGGATGAGGTGGGCCAGCCTCCGGCAGCAGGGCTGGTGGGCAGGTGGGCGAGTGGGCATCCCCCAGTGCCTGGCCTGAGCCGTACTGTCTGCCACCCCAGCCCGTGGCTGAAGAGCCCTTCACCTTCGACATGGAGCTGGATGATCTACCCAAAGAGCGGCTGAAAGAGCTCATCTTCCAGGAGACGGCCCGCTTCCAGCCAGGGGTGCCGGAGGCACCCTGACCTCAACAGGTGTCCCTGCCCCCTGGGGCTTGGTGAGTGCTCCTCACTGCCCACACCCAGACTCACCTGATACCAGGGTGCCTAGCATGACTCCACGCAGTCACGGGCTTGCCGGGCACCCATGATGCACATGTGTGGTGGCAACAGAAGGGCCCAGCGCCTGCCCACCTAGTCCGTCATGTGCCTTCCCCTGTCCTCCAAGCCCAGCTGTCTCCACCTGTCAACACCCTCTATCCTCTGGCCCCAGTAGCCATTGCAGACCACTAGAGGTCACTGAAGGCCCCTGTCACCTATCTGAGGAGCGGAGCCAGAACTTGGCTCTCCCATTGTGGGTAGAGAAGCAGGTGGAGCCATGATTGCTTTGGGAGAAGCCCAGCAGCACCTAGCCTGACCCAGATGCCAGGCTTTCCCACACCTGCCGCTCAGTCAGCAGTTGACACCTGGGGTGGGGACCCTGCTGGGCCGACCCCACCCACACCCTATTCCTTCCCTCCTCTGGTCCTGTTGTCTCAGCCAGCTGTGGCCTGATAGAAAGAAAGCAGACATACCTGGGCTCAACCCCTAGCTCTGCCACTTAATAAGAGCTGTGTGACATTGTGTAAGATGCCTCACTTCTGTGTGCCTCAGTTTCCTGGAGACAGTTCTAATAGAGCAAACACTGATAGAGCCCTAAGCCTTGTTCCCAGAGGTTTACACGTATTCATTCATTTCACCCTTACAAGAGTACCTTGAGATAGGCACTGTTATTATCCCCATTGACAGAGGAGGACACCAAGACACACCCTACCCACCAGGAGGGTGACATGAGAGCCATGGAGGCCAGGGCTCCATCAGGTCCCTCATGGGTGCTAACAATTCCTTTCCTACCTGCTTCTCCTTTAGGTCCTGCCTCCCGCCCGCCACTCCCTTGCTGGACCATTAGAAAATGGACACTGCCCAGCCCAGACCCCGGCAGCCCCAGCTGGGGCAGAGGCCGGGCCTGGCCACATTCAGTCATTTTGCTCTGGCCACCTGCTTCAGGCAGGCCAAAGCTTCACCCCCCAGGCCTGAGGAGCTCAGGTGGCCCCAAAGCAAGTCTCCCTCTGCTGCTCTGCTGTCATCTACCCCTGCTGTCCCAGTCTCCGGTAGTTCTGGAATAGAAGGGTTCTGGCTGCCCGGGGCCTACTGAGGGGCGGGGGTGGGGGCAAGGGGCACTGAGTAGGGACTCAGGACAAGCCTCGCCCCCTCATCTCATTAAAACCTCACCCCATTTTCCCCGAAGGAACATTTCTAAGTCTCAAGGGCTAGTTATCTCCAAGGAGCAGGGCCCAGGTTGAAACCCCCACCCCCTCAAAGCTGCCACATCTAATGCCCTCGCTGCTTCTGTTTGTGGGTGAGCGGAAGTGGAGGTGCCACCTCCCCATGCCTTTATCTAATATATAAATATAGAGATGTGTATAAGGATGCCATGGCTCTGTCTGTGTTTGCCGATGTCCCGCCCTAACCATGTGGCTTGGGGACTCACTTCTCCAGCCCAGTGGCTTGCTGTGGCTTTACATGGCCCTGGTGACCTTGGGCTCCTGACTGTCTAGGGATGGATGGGGGTGTTAGGAGCTTCAGACTCCTGGAGAGAGTGGGGCCAATTTTCCCCTTAGTTACTGTCCCCTCCCTCCTAATGGCTTCCTGTCTAACTGGCTGGGGGTGATTCAGGCTGACTCAGGGACACCCTACACACCCCCAAATTATCTGGAAATGGCAAGGGGTGGGGGTGTTGTATACCCTGGCCACAAGCACCCGTGAGAGGGGGAAGGTCATGACAGACCTGGGGGGAGGGCTTCATTCCCCCATGTGTCCAAGAACAGAGGGATGTGGGGGGGCTGTGGAGGGTCTGGGACTGAGAGGACCAGGGCTGCTTGCTCTACGCCAGCCCCCGCTGAAGCCTGCAGCCTGGCCGCATTCCAGCAGCAGGCTCAGCAGGTCCCGGGCGTGGTGGTGGCCAGTGGCAGAGCCAGCCTACACTGGCTAGGCAGGCAGCGAGGCAGCACAATCCATTGGAGGCTGAGCTCGCAGCACCGGAGTGGAGCCATGAGCCCCCTGCTGTCCTATGCTCTCCCTGCCTTGGGCAGCTATGTCATGCTGTCCCTCTTCTTCCTGCGCTGGCCTCGCCTGCTGCACACACCCTGGCTTCCAGCCTTCCGTATCCGCCTGGGGGCCCACCGAGGAGGTGAGCTGTGTGGGGGTAGGAGGGGAGTGAGACAGCAGAGGCGTAGGTCCAAGGGGCAGGATGAAGAAAAGGGGCCAGGACCAAGTTAGGAGGAGGTTGCAGTGGCAGGGCAGGGAGTGGGGAGGGCGAGGCTGCTTCAGCCTGGGCTGGCTGGGGAGATGCAGCGGGAGCCCGGACAGAGGCCAGCAGAGGGCCAGGCCCCAGGGACCCATCCGGCTGTCCCACACAGGATCTGGAGAGCGACTGGAGAACACCATGGAGGCTGTGGAGAAGTGAGTTGCCATGTAAGGTTGTGTACTGCATGACACCAAGGGGTGCTGGTCACTTCCTAATCTGGGTGCCTGGAGCCCCCTGGAGGTGTGCGAGCAGGCCTGCACATCCTGCCCTGAACTCTGCCCCCACATTCTCCGCACCTCGCTGCCACCATGCGGTCTGGCCCATCCCTGTTCCCCACCCCGCACTGAACTTTGCTCTCATAGCTCTATGGCCCAGCGAGCCGACCTCCTGGAGCTCGACTGCCAGATAACGCGGGATGGCGTGGTAGTGGTGTCACATGACAAGAATCTGTCCCGCCAGTCAGGCCTCAACAGGGATGTGGACAGCCTGGACTTTGAGGTGGGCCTTGCCATGAACCCCTCCATCCCTAGGGAGTCCCGCACCCCCATGTGTGCCTCGTGGTGACATGCTCCCTGCTGTCCCCAGGATCTGCCCCTCTACAAGGAGGAGCTGGAGGTTTACTTCTCGCCAGGTGAGAGCAAGGGGGTGGGACTGGGCTGAGCCAGGCCACCTGCCCTGAACTCCCCACCTTGGGTTCCCACCCCCAACCCCACCCCTCCTCCCGCGACCCCTGCAGGCCACTTCGCTCATGGGTCAGACCGGCACATGGTGCGGCTGGAGGACTTGTTCCAGAGGTTCCCGAGGATGCCCATGAGTGTGGAGGTCAAAGGGGATAACGAAAAGCTCATTCACAAGGTGCTGCTGTGGCCGGGGGCAGTCCGGGCTGGCCAGAGGCCTGGCGCTCCTGTTCACCTCCTGCGCCTCCTCGCAGGTAGCAAGCCTGGTGAAGCGCTTTGACCGGAGCGATATCACCATCTGGGCCGCGGAGAAGAACTCAGTGATGAGGAAGTGCAAGGCTGCTGTGGGTCCCTTTGTGCCCCCTGCTCCAGCGACCCCTCTTCCTGGGAGCTGGAGTTACAGGGGTCTGGGAGGAACTGGAGCTCGAGCAGGGTCCTCAAGGATTGGATTTGGAGGGGTGGGGGTTCGGGGTGGTTAACAGCATGGTGGTGGCAACAAGAGTGTGCATTTAGGCCTTAACACTGGACAATGATGTGGCTTTGATCCTGCAGGGGGTAGGGCCTCCTGAATGTCCAGCACTGGTCCCCTGCAGCCCACACCTCCTCCCTGCTCCCCCAAGATTAGACAGAACCCCTCTCTCACTTCTCCCCGGCCTCCCCAGAACCCTGAGATGCCAGTATCCTTCACACTCGGCCGAGGCTTCTGGATGCTGCTGCTCTATTACCTGGGGCTCCTGCCTTTCATCCCGATCCCCGAGAGGTTCCTCTTCTGCTTCCTGCCCACCATCATCAACAGGTACCACTGTTGGGACAGGACCTCAGAAACCCTCCACCTCCAGCCCTTTTGCTCAAGGTCCCATGTGGAGGAGCAGCCCCAGTCTCCTCAGCCCTCTGACCACCATCAAAGATACCCCCCAAGATCCTTTGAAGACAGTGCTTACCCAGCAGCCATCAGCACTACTGAGGGGGCTCTGAACCCCATGAAGTTATGTGCAAATGTATATGGATGTGGAGTTTTAGGAGAAGGGGTTCATTTATTCATCCAAACTCATCCAGCATATGTACTGAATGCCTGCTCTGTTCCAGCTGTGGCTGCACAGTAAATTAGACCAATGTGGGTGGGCTAAGGCCCTCTGGGCGCTTACAGTCTGGCAGGGAAGACAGACAGTAATTCATTAGCTCAGATTGCAGCAGGAAAAGGCCAGGTTCTCCTGCTGGGAGGCGAAGATTTAACAAAGTAACAGCTAGGTAATGTATCCGAAATTTGGATACTTCCCTAGCTCTCAGGCCTGGCCCCTCCCTTTGCTTTCTGACAGCTTTCCTGAAGTCCCTAGTGCTCTCTGCTCCCCTCTCCGTTCTTGTCCTGTCTCGAGAGAAGCTTCCAACCAGCCCCCACAATCCCTTCCTACAAAGAGATCATTATTCTATAAAGCTTTGTGTACATAACTTTTTCTAAAGGATTTGCAAAGTGTTCTCACATCTTTTGGTTTATTTGACTTTTACCTTCCAGAGTCCCCAGGGGATATAGGAATTATGATCCCCAGGGTACCCATGGAGAATCTGGGGCTCAGAGAGTTTCTGTAATTTGCCCAAGGTCACACAGCTGGAAATACAGAGCCCGGGTTTGCCTTGGGTCTAACTCCAAAGCCTGCCCTGGGAGCCTGTAAAGGGCCACAAAAGTCATTCCTGGAGTGGGATAATTAGGAGCAAGTAGCCAACCCAGTAAGTGCTGCCTGCTCTTAAGAAGCTGGCCAGACCCAACCAGGGGGACCTCCAGACTGGGTGTCCAGCTTTGGAATCCAGCTGGGTCCTGGCCCTGGTCCCAGCCCCACCTCTAAATTGCTTTGTGACTTCCGGCAAGTCACTTTAGTTCTCTAAGACTCAGTTTTCCTCCTCTGTAAAATGGCAAGGTGGGGGCACACCCTCAAAGCATGGATTCAAAGATATCACTGAACAATGAGTAAACTGTTCCTTTGGGCAACTGCAAAGGTCCTTTTACACGGGGCAGGGTTACACTGGTCAGGGGGTCACCGCCACCACACCCCACCCCTGTGACAGAGGGAGACCCAAGGGGCTGACCCCACCACCTTCTCTCCACAGGACCTATTTCCCATTTCCCTGCCCCGGGCTGAACCAGCTGGCAGCTGTGGTTTCGAAATGGTGAGGTGGGCAAGAAGGTTGGTGGAGTATCCCCGCAGACACCTGCCACTTCTCCCTGTGCCCTCTCATCACCTTCCATCTCCCTTTGCCACCCCCTTCTCCACCCACCCCAGGTTGATCATGAGGAAAAGTCTGATCCGACACTTGGAGGAGCGAGGCGTGCAGGTGAGCCCGTGGGGACCACTCCTGCAGCGAGCAGGTGCCGCACCACCCTGGCCAGCAGCCGGGCTCCCATCACACTCTGCCACCAACTAGCTGCATCATTTGGGCAGGTCACCTCACCTCCTGAGTCTCTGCTTCTTCATCTGTAAAGTGGGGAGAATGGTATATTTAACTCTTCTAGATACACAACTGGTACTTAGCAAGGGTTTGATAAATGTCAGCCACAATGACAACAATGATGTATTGAACCTACTCTCCTGTCCCTGGTGGGGGAGCTGGGGCAAGACCAGAGAAGGGAGAACCCAGGCCCAGCCCACCCCCCTCCCCTGAGCATCAGCCTTGACCAGGTCATTTAATTAGCAAACCTTTGTTGACAAGGCTCCAGGCACTTTGGTACTGGGGATGGGAGCTCACCTTACCATCAAGGGCATTGGAAAGAAACTTAGCAGGCCATCACATGGCAGCGAAAATGGACAGAGAGGAAGCATGCTGTGGTCCCCAGCATCAGAGAAGGCCTTTACTGGCTCTCAGGGAGGGGCAGGCAGGACATCCTAGGTCTGAGGCTCAGCATGCATAGATGCTGGAGGAGCCCTCAGAGGAATGGAGGGCTCCCCAGGCTGCAGTCTGGAGGACATGGCCAGGGAGCTGGACAAGCAGCAGGGGAATGGCCCGCAAACCTCAGCCCCAAGGGAAGGGAAGCTGGTGAGGGCGGAAGCAGGGGGAGACCTGATCCAGTTGAGGTTGTTGAGTGAGGGTCACTCGGGCCACCACGTGGAGAAGAGATGGCGGGGGCTGGTATGGAGGCAGAGCGCCTCGACAGGAGGCTGGCGCTTCCCCGACAGGCACTGGGCTGCGATGCGGTGGTGGCAGTGGGATGTGGCCAGAGTTAACCCACGGACAGAGGCCGGGATGTGGCTCCTGACTGTGGGCGAGGGAGGCCTGGATGACACAGCTCTTTCCCAGCAGCCCTCTCGCTCCTCGGGTCTGTACCCATTGTGAGGGTGGCCCGTCACCCTCATCTCTCAAACTAAGAAATCAAGAGGTCCGGTAACTTGCCTGGGACACAAATACCATCTCCACCTACCTCGCCACCCACAGGAGAGAACTTGGGAAGGCAGGAAAGATGCAGAGCAGCAGGGATGGGCAGGCCGGGAGGCATCGGTGCTGGTTCAACCACCAGTTCTCCAGGAGAGAATAGTAAAGGCCCTGAGCCGAGCATTCATTTCCCTGGCCAGTGTGAGGCTACCAGCATGAAGTCACTAAATGTAGGATTGGGAAGAGGTGTGCACACCATTGCATAGAATTTCCACCTTACAGATTCAACAGACATAAAGAACCTTAAGAACTTAGGTAATAGTAAATGCAGTAAGATAAATTTTGAGTGATAAATTTTGAGTACTTATTACCTTTGTTTTTTAACATAATGTATTTATTTGTAAGTTTATATAATTTAATTTTTAACAATGGCTGTGTTTTTTTTTTTTTATTGAAAGACTATATGTACTTGTGGAGTACGAGGTTGACTATGAGTAGTTGTGTAGAATGTGTGATGGTAGATTGGGATAGTTAGCTTATTCATCATTGCAGTACGTAATCATTCTTTGTGTCCATTAATGGCTGTGTTTAATAACCAGTTTGCAAAATTCTTGAAAATTTAACCATCGGTCCCAGCATTGCACCGTTGGGAGGTCTCACTAGAGGAAGAGGAGAGCTCCCACCACCTGGATGGAAGGGAAAGTTCCAGTAAAGTTGTTTAGAAACTACAAGCCTCTCTCTCCCTGCTCAGGTGATATTTTGGTGCCTTAATGAAGAGTCAGATTTTGAAGTGGCCTTCGGCCTGGGGGCCACAGGCGTCATGACAGATTACCCCACAGCCCTGAGGCGCTACCTGGACAACCACGGACCAGCTGCCTGGGCCTCCTGAGTCCGGAGGCCCTAGCCCTCACCACTGTTTCTCTTACTTACTAAAAAATAAATATTTTATTTTCAGTCACTTCTTTGTGCTTGAGGTGAGGGGTAGAGGGTGGACCCTGGAAGACTGTAAAGATGGCAGCTTAGGGTAGAAGAGGCCAGCCTGGGGCCACAGCCTGGGGCCCTAACCAGCCTGACCCACTGGTTCCACTACATTCCATACCCAGAGTAGTACCACACCCTGTGCCAGTCTGGCCTCCACTCTCCTCAGGAATGTCCCTTGCAGGGCCAACCCAGGTGTCCTGGCCCCCAGCTCCTTGAGAGCCACAGATAATGGTGCCATTCTCCTGAGACCATTAAGAGCCCTAGGCACACAGCAAAGACTTGACTTCGCCCATGCCCTGCCCCGATGTGCCTCATCACGGCAGAGGGTGGGCATCAGGGGTTCAGCTAAGCTCCCAGTGCCCATCCGCCATTCAACCTTCCTCTCCCAGGTCTCCTCCAGAAGCTCCTAGAGCTCCTCTGCCCTCTCCAGCCCTGGTACTTTTATTCATTAAACGAGTCACATAGTCACATTTCACAAACATTCATTGAGTCGGTACTGGGACCGCTGCAGCGAACAAGATAAAGTCTAAGTAGGGCAGACACACGTTTAAACAGACATTGTCAACTGACCTCAGACCTAGCCCAGCCTGAAGGGTAGGGACATCAGAGGAGTCTGCCCGGAGGAGGTGATGCTCAATAGTAGGAACTGGCTTGTTCCAAGGCTCTGGCTCCCAGGGGTCTAACAGGGATGGACACCTTTAGCTCTTCCTTTCTAAGAGGTAAACTGAGTCAGTCCGCGGTGCTATAGCAAAGGCCACGGAATCGGACCTAAGCGAGAATTCCAACTTTGCCCCTTGCCAGCTGGATAACTTCTGGAGACGGGCTAGACCTCTCTGGGCCTGTGTTTCCTGGTAGAATGGAGACAATAGGAGAAGCTGCCTTGTAGGATTGCTGCAGGGATGAAGAGAGTGGGGCACAGGCGGAGGGGAAACGCAGATAACTATGCCTGCTACTTCCCGGGAGCGTGCGTCCGGACACCATCCTCCTGCTAGCCCCACGCCGGGTCAGGGCCCTCAGATCGGGGACCGCGGGAGCCAAAGGGGTGACGGCGCGCGGACCGCAGCGGGCCGCAGCCGCATTTCCGGGCCGGCGGGCGCCGGGCGCAGGGGGAAGGGCAGCGCGGGCCGGCGCC